GCCGGTCCACAGGACAAAAGGATTGAAGTCTCCCGCATGCGCAAATGCTTTTTCTGTCTGTCTGTCTGTCCGCATCGCATCAGGAGGCCTGGTAGGTACATTTGGGTAGGTAGTAGGTGTCAAAGTACCAATAACGGCTGGACAAGCCCTCCCAAAGTTTCGGATTGGACACGTTTACCGGTATCGGTTCGAACTCGGTATCGAGTCCGAGGCTGCAGGTAAAAAAAAGCAGAGCCAAGTAAGAGACTTATCAGGTCTTTAAGATAAAAAAGAAGTATTAAAAAATGGACAACCTGCCCACAGGTGTGCTTGTGACCCTCCCGCGCAAGTGAGTGTGTGTGCAGGCACATATATGAATGAATACATGTGCTGGAAGAAGACGAATGGTGGAAAAAGACTAATTGAGGCCAGATAAGGACAAGCAACACCAAAAATCTGTAGAGAAAGAAGGTATATGTCTACAAGTCTTCATGCATCGACTGCTCCACGACTATGCATACTTTTCGGGATCTCGTCCGTTCTGGCCTACAGATAGACTTGAACGGTCGAGAACAGTGCAAACACACAAGCCACACCATTCGACTTTACAGTCCTAGTAAAATCCTCCACCAGTATGGCTTAGTTTTGTGGAGATAAAACACGGAATTTGCATACTAATATGAGGCATACGTATTTATGACATGACGACTGGGGTTCCCATGGGAAACAGTGCATTCTTGACGAAGAAAGCCATCAGCCTTCATCAAAGAAACGCAGAAGATGTGCTTTGGCCTGAGTTAAGAGTCACTTAATTAGGGGCAGTCCACAGGTCAGATTGGACGAAGCCAAACTGACCCACAGTTGTCGAACTCCTCTCTAGGCCGGAGGGCGGAACCGATACAGGTAAATGCTTCAGCTGGAAATGGAGAATAGGAGCAGTGTAGCAAAATGGCGTAACTAGGTAACGTCAAAATGCGCTGAAGATGTAAACGTCTCTTGAGGCAAAGCGAAAGGGCGAATGGGTTCACAATTAAGATTTGCATTTTTTGGGTGCATCAGGCTCTCTGAGCAAAATGCCTCGATTTGAGGCAAAGCATGTTGTTTAAATAATTTGATGAGTCAAGATAACTCTGGCGCATGCTATATTATTCTGACAGGCTGTGGATGCAGGAGTGCAAAAGTAGCTGAGAAAATATTTCCACATGTTCACCCTGGTTCGTTTAAAGTGATGAAGCATTGCGGAGTGAGGGTCTGGGAAAGCCAAAGTAGGGATTGGAGGCACATCATACCACATTTAAATTAGAAATTGTAATAGTGAACGGGTGATCCGAGGATATAGAAGAGGTGACTAGCCCAGGACAGGAGAGATACCACGACTGTTTAGCACACATTTGGTCAAAGTATCGGCTTCACTTGTCGCTTTGACGAGTTTTAGCAAGACTCACTGACGACGCCGGCGAAACATCTGAAAATGTACCACGTCCACGATCCGCCTCTGGAAATGGCCATGCATACAATGGACTCCGGACTAGAAGCGTTCCTCTAAGTCTTTCATCCGATATGACCAAGTTGCGAAAACAGGGTTAAAAAACTTCTATGCAACGAAAGGAGAGTGCTACCAAAAAAAAGCCGCACCATTATGGTGTTCATATCTTCGATTTGCATTACTTATTTTCTTTTGTAAGTAGTCTTTCAGGGCTAGCCGTAAATCAAATATATGAGATGTGTTAACCCTATTTCTAAACTGGATTAGAGTACCTACTGGCAAGCAAGTCTATGTAAAATTAAATAGAAACGTAATGTCTACTCATATCATTGTGGGAAAATTCAGCTGCCAGTCCTTCATCATCTTAAACAAAATAATGTGAACACACCTCATAAAGATCTAACTTACTGGTAGCTCTGAGCACAGCAGATGAAATTTTGCTGCGAGTCCGGTGAATGTGAATTGCATTATCGCCTCACCCACGAAAAAAACACCTCCAAGCGGAAGATGTATTCTTAAATGGTGCCTTTTCTTCGGATGCTTTGGATCTGTCATAGTTCTGCTTAGCCAGACCGCCATGCTCTGAAACAGTAACGGCAAAGCTTTAAGCATGCGAATTTGATGTCCTTCTACCACTGGTGAGTGTGAGGTGAATCCTTGGCCTACGCACACCAAGCTTTGGAAAGTCAGACCATCTATTGCCTGGAAGGTGTGAAAGACTGCTGTAAAGTACAGCCCTGGTGGTGGGAGAATGATGAAAAAATCAACAAACACAGCATCAAATCGAACACAAGTGCACAGAGTCAACAGCTTGCCTCACTTAGGGTTGTTCTGTACAGTAGAGGCATACAGGAAGACTTGTGAATATTCGCCTATCGGAGATCAGCAACAGTTCCGATCGGCCGAGTCAGCTATGGGCACCATATGGTGAAGCTATATAATTTGATAATTAAGATTTAATTAGGTCCAGATTGGAATGAAAGAGATAGATTCAACAAGATAACCGCTAATTGATGATGAGGCTACAACGATAAGGGGCAGATGTGCTGTGATTGCTGACACAGACCAGATGAAGCATTTGCATAATGGTAGCACAAGCAGCATCCTCACTCCAGCCTCCAAAATGCGATCTCGAGTGAAGTCAAAACAGCTGAAATGAGGCACTAGTGCGATTCTTTAATATGCGGTTGCGGCCCAAAAGTGTGCTGAATCAGAAGCTTTGTATGAAACAATGCTGTTGGTAGAAATGGAGAGCACAAGCCGTCCCAACCACAGACAGACCAGGCGGGATGAGCTTTGATCCCCCGTTGGCGGGTGCTGAAAGTAAAGGAGGAATCGCCTTCGGAGACAAGTCTTCCCGACCAATTGAATTCGATGGAAAGGTACAGATGCAACAGAGAGAACGGGGTCTAAAGCATCGAAAAGTGCAACACGACAAAGCATATCGTACTGAGTGACATGATTACTTCCATTTTAAGTGAAAGTGTTGAGTGAAGAGATTCGAATGTCGGTTCCACCAGAAGACGATGGCGGACTCCTCTTGACGAGCTGTCGATTGGCTTTACTAGAAAATTCATGCTGACGTTGTTCCCAACATGCTCTCCTTCGATTCCAGTGAAAAGGTGCTAAGCTTCCGTCCGTCATACGACGAACATCATCAGAGCAACGTATCATCGCCACAGCCAAATTCAAGCTAACGAATCAAGCACCTTTTCACTGGAATCGAAAGAGATTATCTCGGAAACAACATCAGCATGAATGTTCCAGTAAAGCCATTCGACTGCTGGACAAGAGGAATCAGCCGTCGTCTTCTGACCGAATCGACCTTCGAATCCCTTCACGCAACACTTTCACTCGAAATGGAAGTAAGCTGAACAATGATGAAACAAGAGATTTTTTGAAACACAACTTTCCCTCGCATACAGAATGTGATAGTCCGTAGGCCGACGGGCTCCGGTCATGGTGGCCGGACGAGAGCGCTTAATTTAGAACCTGACTGGCTTCAAATTGGCAGTGGTTTACTGGTTTCCGGTTCATTGCCACTGCTGAGAGGAGTGCACACCGGCTGTCAGGAGAGATGACATCCGAAGAGAGGCACGACTAAAGAAAATGCC